ACCGCGTCCGGAGCGGGCGCGGGCGTTTGGCCGCGGGAAGGGAGGGGAGCCGCCCGCCGGGCCATCGCGCCCCTGGGAGTTTGGACTGGGGGCCCGACCGCCTGGAACCTGGCGTCTGGCCGCATGGGCCCCGGGCTCTGGCTGCTCCGTCCTGCGGCCGCCTCGAGCACCTGTTCGCCTGTGTGGCCCGTCCACGGCCGGGCTGGCCTGCGTGTGGTCGGCGAGGCGTTCGGGTGACGGCGTGGTGTCAGCGCTGGCCGCGGGAGGGGCTCGTGGCTTAGGGCGGAACTGGGGTTGTGCTGAAGTCTTTTCTGGAGCTCGTGGGTGCGGGGTCCTCGGGTTCACTGTGGGAAGGTGTCCCCAGAGCTCCCCTCTCGTCCACGCTGGCGAGTTTCTCCAGAGACAGAGACTCAGTGGTATTTATTTTAAAGATTTATTATGCACACAGAACTGGGGTACAGGCCAGAGTTTCAGGCAGTGAGCGGCTTCACCAGAGGCAGAGTGGGGAGCAGAACAGGCAGACTGATGAAGTACCCTGCTGAGGGAGCAGTGGGCGGGCAGCAGAGGTCTGCCCTGCCATGTGGGTCACTCCCTGGCCAGGGATCGAACTCGTGCTGCAGTGGCTGTGACTGCTGTGCTGTAACCCACTGCACCACCAGGGAGGCCCCCTTATATTTAGAGAGCAGATTTGGCGGGGAAAAGAATGAGAGTATTGGACCGTGCACAGGCACGTCTCCCATCCGAGCGAAGAGCGAGCAGAGGGTGGTCTGGGTGGGGCAGTAAGATGTGTTTCCAGTCCTGGGAGAGAATCTGGTCGTGAAGTTTGCTGTCCTTGTCGTGACAGGATGTCAGTTTTGAAGATGTGGCCATTGACTTCTCCCCAGAGGAATGGGGGCTCCTTAGTGCAGCCCAGAGATTGCTGCACTGTGAAGTGAAGCGGGAAAAACTTTGCTCTTATGGCGTCTCTAGGTAAGATCTGTCCCTCCTGAGTGTCCTGAGGTGATTGTTTCCCTTTCCTCCCCCGACTTTCCCACAGCTGGACCAGGTATCCCCAATTTCTTATCATATGCGTCTTAGGAACTTTGTGCAGTACCCCTACAGCGACTGTGTAAGCAGCCCTAACACCTGTCGTCTAAACAGTGCAGAGAAGGGTCAGAGTCAGAAATCTTGAAAGCAGTTGAGTGAGTGTGTCCATCTCCGTGGCCTTAAATCCTGCTTCCTTTCTCTGGCTAACATTTCTTTGTGACCTCTCAGGCCAGGTTGTGGTCATGACTCGACCCTCGTTCAGTTTTCTGAAGGTTTTCATTCCCAAATACCGTTCATCTGCCAGGTTGCGCCAGGTCAGTGCTGGCCCCTCAGCTGTGCTATCTTTCCTCAAGACCAGCATGAGTCAGGTTCCAAGTGGTTGCACAAAGGAGAGGACGCTGGCGGTTTCACCAGTGGACTTGGCAAGGTGGTCTCCCTAACTGGCTCTGGTGAGCTGCATGTGGGGAGGAACCTGACTTCGGGACCGTTAAGATCATACCTGAAACCTGCCCTGTGCCCAGCGGTGTTTCGGTGTGAGCAGCACGAAGTTAGAGCACTCCTACCTCTCCTTTCTTGAGCTTGACACTTTGCTTACTGTCATTTCATCCTTGGACTTCGGCCTCCTGGCCGGCCACCTCCACCTTTGTGGTCTCTTCGTCATGAGACTGTGCACCACTCCCTCTGCAGCAGTCTCCATTGCAAACGTGTACCCTGTGTCATGAGGTGCACACATCCTCCCTGGTTCTTTTTACCAGCTGCTCAGTTCCATTTGACCTGTATCGGCATTGAACACATCCAGTCTTCCACATAGTGCCTCAGTGTCACCCGCAGTTAAGGGCTTGTGAAGACTCTGGCGGAGGGTTGAATGGGGAATCCATCATGTGGCTCCCTCCACCACTTCCCAGCCACCTCGGGCCTTCTCCAGCAACAGGCTATTCCAGACAGTGAGGAAGCACATAGTGGTGGTAACAGTGGGCAGGACTTGCCCAGTGAAAGAAACTACTGCAAGTTTGGTGAATGTGGAAAAGCTGACATCCACAACCACACACTTACTGAACAATGGGTCTTGTGCGCCAGAGAAGGGCTTAACATGACAAACGAATGCAGCAAATGTGACAAAGCCAGCAGCTGCAAGTGTGACTGCATTCAGCACCAGCACATTCAGACCGGACAAAGGCCATATGTATGCCAGAAAATCTTTAGCCAAATCTCTGACCTTACTGAGCACCAGAAAATTCACAGTGGTACAGAGCTTTATGGATGCACAGAATGTGGAAAATTCTTTATCCACAACTTCAGTCTCGTAGATAACCAGAGTTGATATTGGAGCCCTGGAAAGGAATTATAATGGTGGTGAACATGCAACCGCCTTTATCCAGAAATCCAAACTGTTACACCCACAGAGACAATGCGCTGGAGGAGTTCATGGTAAGTGTGGTGAATGTGGAAAATCCCTTAGCTGCAAATCCAATCTCATTGAGCACCAGAGAGCTCACGTGAGAGAAAGGCTTTGTGCATCGAGTGTGGGAAGTCCTTTGGACAAATCGTTAACCTCATTCAGCATTGCAACATGCACACAGGAGAAATGCCTCATGAATGTGGTGATTGTGGGATATCTTTTAGCTATAAATCTGAACTCATCCTGCACCAAAGAATTCACAATGGAGAAAGGCCTTATGTGTGCGAGTGTGGAAGGTCTTCTAGGCAGTTTCTTAGCTTTATTAGACACCGGAATGGCCACGTCAGAGATAGGCCATATGAGTGCAGTGCTTGTGGAAATCATTTAGCCACAAATCTGGCCTCATCCAACACCAGAGAATTCATACTGGCACAAGACCGTATGTATGTAGTGAGTGTGGGAAATCATTTAGACAACAGCCTGCCCTTATTCAACACCAGAGAGTTCACTCTGGAGAAAAGCCTTACGAGTGCAGTGAGTGTGGGAAGACCTTTAGCCAGAGTTCTAGTCTTCTCCGACACCAGAGAGTTCACACTGGAAAAAGAACATATGAGTGCAGAGAGTGTGGGAGTCCTTTGGACAAATCGTTAACCTCATTCAGCATTGCAGAGTGCACACTAGAGAAATGCCTCATGAGTGTGGGAAATCTTTCAGGTATAAATCTGAACTCATCCACCACCAAAGGAGTCACAATGGAGAAAGGCCTTATGAGTGCAGCGAGTAGAAAGTCATTTAGGCACAAGTTTGTCCTCATTCAGCACCAGAGAGTTCACACTGGAGGAAGGCCTTTTGAGTATGGTGAGTGTAAAAAATCCTTTACCTGCAGGTCTGTCCTCATCAAACACCAGAGAATTCATACTGGCACAAGACCACACGGATGTAGTGAGTGTGGGAAATCGTTTAGACAACGGTCTGCCCTTACTCGACACTGGAGGATTCACTCTGGAGAAAAGCCTTATGAGTGCAGGGAATGTGGGAAGCCCTTTAGCCAAAGTGCTGGCCTCATGCAACACCAGAGAGTACACACTGGAGAGAAACCTTACAAGTGCAGTGAGTGTGGGAAGGCCTTTAGGCAGACAGAGGTCTAGCCTTTTTCGACACCAGAGAGTTCACACTGGGAAAAGAACATGAGTGCAGAGAGTGCGGGAAGTCCTTTAAGTGACTCTTTAACCTCATTTAGCATTGCAGAGTACACACAGAAATGCCTCATGAGTGTGGTAAGTGTGGGAAATCTTTTGGCTATAGATCTGAGCTCATCCAGCACCAAAGGATTCACAGTGGAGAAAGGCCTTATGAGTGCAGCGAGTGTATAAAGTCATTTAGGTGCAAATATGGACTCATTCAGCACCAGAGAGTTCACACTGGAGAAAGGCCTTTTGAGTGTGGTGAGTGTGAAAAATCCTTTACCTGCAGGTCTGGCCTTATCCAACACCAGAGAATTCATACTGGCACCAGACCGTATGGATGTTGTGAGTGTGGGAAATTGTTTAGACAACGGTCTGCCCTTATTCAACACCGGAGAGTTCACTCTGGAGAAAAGCCTTGTGAGTGCAGGGAATGTGGGAAGGCCTTTGCTCACAAATCTGAACTCAGTCAGCATCAGAGATTGCATACTGGAGAGAGGCCTTTTGAGTGTAGTGACTGTAGGAAGTTTTTTAGCCAAAAGTCTAACCTACTTAGACACTGGAGAGTTCACACTGAGGAACAGACTTAAAATCGCCAGGAATTTTTATTTCCTTGCTCGGTGTGACAACACCAGAGTAGACTTCTGGGGGCTAGTGACCTGTGCTCACTTTACTTTTTTTTTTTTTTTTTTTTTTT